GAGCTTCCAGAGTGGTTAGCAGAAGAATCAATGGCAGCCTCACACTTCGATTGTCTGCAGGATCACCTACCCCACACTTTCATTCCTACGCGTTCCCTGTTTTTTGTACAAAGGTCTGAGTTTCAAATGCTAAGGAAATAGTCAAAGTTTGTTTCAGACATTAAGTCCTGTGGATACTATTTCATTACATGGAATCCATCTTTCTCTTTCCAGGATGAAGCTTGGAATAATTTAACTGTGGCAAAATTAGCATGCAATTTGTAAGTCATTATGGTGCAAAGTATGTGGTAAGAACACTTTATTGAATAAACCTGCTGAGAATAATTTTCCCAGGAACTAAAAAAGGGAAAACCCTCTCTCCAAGGCTCTGCTTCCTCTTTTAAAATGCTTGCCTATATAATTATGTCTTACTCCTGACAACCAGAAGCCAGGCATCTCTGAACATTTAACCAATAGAAGCCAGAAGGAACCAAGGAGTCAGGATATTGTCCTTGGTATTTCCTGTTGTTTGGGGATTCAGGTGAAATCTGCTGAGACAAGCATCCTAGATATTTACAGATCACAGAGAACTGCTGCTCACTCATGCCCTTTAAAAGTTCAAGTCATCAATAAAAATTTTTTTTTCTTAAAAAAATAAAAAGTCCTGGCCAGTGTGGCTCAGTTGGTTGGGCATAATTCCACACGCCAAAAGGTTGCTGGCTCAATTCCCAGCCAGGGCACATGCTTGGGGTTGCAGCTTGATCCCATCAGGGGATATGCAGGAGGCAGGTGATGTTTCTCTCTCACATCGATGATTCTCCCTCTCTCTCCATCTCCCTTCTTCTCTCTAAAAATGAATTTTAAAAAATCTTTAAAAGTTCAGGTCAAATATTATTAACCAGGAACCTCAACAGTATGTCTGTTAGAGGCAGAAACAGAATACTGGGGACTAGCTATTAATTAAAAGAAATATTAACCATGCTCTGTTAACCGTGATTATTTTGTTCTGATTAAAGGAAGCACATTGTAACCTGGCTGGGAGTGGTAAGCCCAGGACCTGGGGATAGGGGTGCGACTTTCTATATGAAAATCACAGAAAACCTCCGGAGGTGACAGTTAGGTTGAGACTTGATGGCTGGAGGAAGCACCAGCAGGAGCAGAGTCAGGGCAGAAGGGAGAGCAAATGCAAAGGCTGTAAGGCAGGAACGCAGTAGTGGCAGGAGAAGTAAGAAGTAGGGAGAGCTCAGATCAAGCAAAATCTCGCAGTACTAGGGAAGAAAATGTGAGTATGTGGAGGGGTAGTGGTGCAAATAGTCTTTATAAAGAAAATGAAAGGTTCTCTGGCCACCCCTCCATGCCAGGCCTTTTCACGTGTGTTAGATCTATGCCAGTAATCCCTACATATGTAATTCCTTTAAACACACAGGTTGGGACATATGCCTTAAAATCAAAACACCAGTAAGGAAGAAAACAAGGCTGGGGCGGTTAGGCTATTTGTCCACAGCCGGAGAACCAGACTAAGCCTGGCTCTAAAGGCTGGCCAGACTCCCCTCTGACACCTTCTGCTCCTGGATTTACCTTCGCACTTGCCCCCAAACTTAATTTGCCTTCCCAGTGCCCCTCCTTTGCTCCTATTTTCTCTTGACTGGAAATGCCCTAACGACTCTACCTTTTGAGAATCAGCTTGAATCTCGCCTCCTCCACAAACTAAGGGTGACTCTACGTGCAGGCAACTTCTCCCTGCTCCCTGGACACCTCTAGCCCTCAGCACCACTCCTGGGGTCCATTCTTCTATTAGCACTTTCACCCTCCTCCCCCCGCCAGTCCCAAGCCCAGGGCCTTGCACAAAGCAGGTGCTTAAGAAATATCTGCCAAATGACTGGATTCTCTCCAGTGAATCTTGGTCAACAGCAAACCATGAACACTTGCACTGTACCCATGGAAGTCTGAAGTTTATAGAAAACATGATGGCTCTGGGACACTAAAAATGTCAATACCCGATTCCCATTATCTAAGATTTGTTGTTGCTGTTGTTGACTTGGCAAAGTATGTGAGAGATTTATTTATTACTGATCTGACTGTCAAGATCACCAAATACCTGAGAAATAAGCATTCAATTTAAGTCAATAAATAGGTGCCGAGTTCCCAATGGGTATAAGACACCCAAGTTTAATGGAGGTGGGATGGGGTGAGGCGATAGATTGTGTATGACTTAAGAGAGAAGAGTGCATGAAGGAGAGGTGAAAAAGAGGTCATTTTGTTCTAAGTCACTTTACACCGTGAGGCGGCTTCATCTGCCAGGATGGAGCCCGAGTGCTGGCAGAAAGCACTGCTCACAAATGCATCCCTCGCCCCCACCCGCCCGTCTCTCTGAGCAACACGGAGGTTGCTGAGTGCTAATGGCCTTGGAATGTTTGCCATGCCCAGCAAAATGGCCTTGGCATCCAGGAGACAGATGTTTGTCAGGGAATGGCAGGGGCCTGGTGCCTGTGGCACACACAAGCTCTGTGAGTGCTGGGGAGAGTGGCTGCAGAGATTACTCTCCGTCAGTGCGCATCAATTTCACACCCTCTTCAGTGCTGATAATAGATAATCTTGTGGGAAGCAGGCCAAATTTCCTAACAGCTACAGGCAAGCTGCAACCTGACGGCCAACAGCTTACCTGGTCTCCCTCAAAAAAAAAAAAAGCAAAAGCCTATTTCAGTTTCCTTTCAAACGAAGCATGTGATGGTACCAACACTCTAGTTTGCTTGAGCGACTCCTCTGGGAACCTGGCAAGGAGGATGCTCTTAGGAAAGGACTGCCTGGCTTATAGTTACACAAGAATTCTAAAGGAAGCTGGGAAAATCTAGCAACAGCAGCAGCTCTCAGTTACTAAGCAAGGTACTTTATATGCCATACTTAGTATTTATGATAATACCGAACAGGAGATGTTATTTCCATTTTACAGATGAGAAAACCAAAGCTCAGAGAGGTCACCACATTTGTCCCGGGTCTCAGAGCTAGGAAGTGGCAGAGCAGAAATTCACATCCACTCGGCTGCTGCTCCGTCATCGATCAACCGCTCATAGCGCTCTTTATCCATCCCATTTTTAAAAAATGGCAGTTACCAAAGGATGTTCACCTGAACCTGAGGGAAAACAGTAAGCTGGAGGGTATCTTGGAAATTGCCTTTGCTGATACTGTGTTATGGCTATGAAACCGGGGCTACATGCGGCTCGGTGACAAGGCATGGCCAGGCAGTGGATTGGAGGTGGTGGTGCCTGCATTACACGTCTAGGTCTCCTGGCTCCCAGGTGCTCCTCTGCCACCCCTGAAAATCTCCGTCAGCAGAAAACATGGGGGAGTCCCCCAGACCTGTTGTTCCAGCTATTTCCTTACAAAAGTCTAGGGAAATTTCAATTCGTTTCTCATTCAGACAGAGAGAAAGAATGTATTACTCCATCACTTTAATGATCACGAAGTGTCCATCATGTACAAATTACTGCAAAGGGAATAAACGATGGAAAAGGAGAGCTTAATCAAAGAACAAAGGGGGTGGGTGTGTGGAATGAAAGGACTGTGTGTGGGACATGCTAGAGCCTGAAGTCCAGCCTCAGAATTTAGAGCCTCTGCCTTTTCTCTTGTAGTAGCATCATTGCATAAAAGAATAAAGTCCCAGCCAATCAATCCAATCAATCAACAAACATCTGAGGAATCATTAGGCCTAGGGAGCACGGGGAAATCACAAGAATGATACACGGTTGCCTGTCTACTGGTATTCATATAAGAAGGTGTTTTTCGTGAAAGGGGAGGCAAAGAGAAAAAGGCATAGTCTTTGCCAGCCCTGGGCTCTCACCCTGGCCCGCAGCATAGCTGGACTAACCAGCATAGACGGAGGCGGGCACTGAAATGGCTCCTCCACCAGGGAGGTTCAAACACCAAGTGGATCTTTAAGGCGAGAAGTAAAAAGAGAATGCAGCGATATAGCAAACCAAGATCATAAGGAAGATGAGGTCTATTTCAGACTTTGAAAAAAAGCAAGGAAAAGATCATTATGCAACGTGACCAAAGACTAAGGAATGTCTTGTAGGAGAGAAAATATGAATTGAACATTAAAACAGATATGAAAACCTGCCCTCATTAAGGAGGCAGATGAGAAAGCTACAGAGGCCAGAGGTAGAAGAGAACAAAATGGAAGCAGGTAAATAACACAGGAGGTAGGATAGCACCATAGTAAGCAAAGCCCCACAGGGAAAAGGACTAGCACAGTGATGGTGAGCCTATGACACGCGTGTCAGAGGTGACACGCGATCTCATTTTTTGGTTGATTTTTCTTTGTTAAATGGCATTTAAATATATAAAATAAATATAAAAAATATAAGTCTTTGTTTTACTATGGTTGCAAATATCAAAAAATTTCTATATGTCACACGGCACCAGAGTTAAGTTAGGGTTTTTCAAAATGCTGACACGCCAAGCTCAGAAGGTTCGCCATCACTGGACTAGCAGGTTTCATTTCCATCAGCATAAGAAAATTAGCGTCAGTTGTGTAGAACCTGTGTGGGTTTTGCTGCAACACACCTGAGCTTCCCTTTTCTAGTCTCCAGCTTCTCATCTCTGGATGGGGAATTGGATCCAATAACCTCGCAGTCTCCTTTCAGCTCTTACACCCTGTGATCACCCTTCCTCTAATGCTTCCCTATGACTACAGACACCAGCAAGTGTGTGCATTAGCACACGCTGCCAATGTGGTTCGAGTCCCAGCAGTGTACTTGGGTTGACTTTCTAAGAGAAGCTCTTGTCAAGGGTATGAGAACGATCCCCCAGACTCGGGCCAGACCTGGCTCAATCCCACACAGCCTTCCTCCTGAAGGACTTTCACTCCTGTCAGAGGAGCTCTGCTCTTGCAAGCTGTTAGATGACATATGAAGGCAGACGGCACCTTAGCCCTTCCTGTTCTGCGGGTAAATATAAGGTGCGCAGGGGATCCAAACGGAGTGCAAGCCAATAGCTGGCAAAAGACAGGCAGGGATACGTACATGCTTTTCCCCTTCAATCTTCTTGTCGGCCACCTGCATTGCATCCAGATATTTAAAATGCAACTCCATCAGTCTGTCAACCTGAAAGAGATATTCCATAGGCATGAGTGAGAAGGAAAGAGAATGTCAAGGCAAAAGGAAGGAGGAGCTCTGATTCATCTCTGTCACTCCTTATAGAGGGAGATCCACTCTACCACTCCCACATGGGAGATCAGCTTTGCTTATGGACACACCAGGAATGGATTAAAGAGCTGCATGGAACAAAGCAACACAGTCCCATTCCCCAAAGAACACGATGCATCCCCAGCCTTTTGAGGACTCCCATGAATTCAAGTTGTTATAAACAAACAAATAAATAAAATTTCAATCCCCTTTGTGCAAAGAGAAGGAGCTTGAAGTTACATACTTGATATTCACTTAGAACTTTACAGAATTTTTTTTTTTTTAAGAACTGAAACCTTTCATGTTCAATTCTGCCCCAGAGCTGATCTTTTTTTTAAAAAGGTCTGAGTAAAATTTCTTTAGTTGTTTTTGAGTCAGAAGAGAGTGCAAGAAAAACTCCTTCAGCAACTTAAAAAGAACCTGACTTTTGCTCAGCAACAATTCAAAAACCAGTTTTAAACTTAACAAAAGTCATGCTTCAAACATGGCCTGAGGAACACTCAGTAGGTCTGAAAAAGTTTCCTTTTCCTCTAAGACTTCTGAAAGACTGAAGGAATACCATGAAGCCAGCCTAGACTTCTAACCCATCTCTTTACTATGTTGGCAACCCTGGTGTTTACCCAGGAGCTGTTAATGGTTAATAGCTGAAGTTGCTTCAACATGGCATCAGAGAGTCCAGGAAGACTGCACCCAAACCCTCTCTGGAAACAACGATGGATCTAAGATCTTACATATATTTTCATGTCTATTATTTCCTTAGGCCTTCCAAAAACCTGACAAGGTAGGCAGAGAAGATAGATTACAACCCTAATTTCAAAGGTGAGGAAACTGAAGCACAGACATTAAATGTCAGCAAGGTGACATGATTGCTAAGATGTTCTGCGCCCTAACCTGATGGCCTTTTCACCATGCTACACTGCTAGTGAGAGAAGAAAAAATGGTTAGAGGTCGACTCAAAGAGACAATCTTAAAATCTCTCCAAAGTCGGGGGAAAATGTAGCCTTACCTTGGACATAGGAAAGAAAGTTATTGTAAGTTAAAAAGGGCCTTTGCCCGGCTGGTGTGGCTCAGAGGTTGAGCATTGACCCATGAACCAGGAGATCACGTTTCAATTCCCCATCAGGGCACATGTCTGGGTTGAAGGTTCGATCCCTAGTAGAGGATGTGTATGAGGCAGTTAATCAATGATTCTCATCACTGATGTTTCTATCTTTCTCTCCCTTCCCCTTCCTTTCTCTGAAATTCATTAAAAAAAAACCCCCAACAACATTAAAAAAGAAAAAGAAAAAAAGGGGAGGCTTTGGTCCTTAACTTTTACTCATCTGGAATTACCTACTTATGTCTAGTATGATAAAATACACAGGCTTTCTGGACTTAGGCAGCCTGGGTTCAAATCTCAGTTCTGCTTTTTAACTGGGTGATCTTGGGCAAGTCACATAATGTCTCTGTCAATTTCCTTACCTGTAAATGTGAATAATACTGTATTACCCAATCCTAGTAGTCACCCACTAAATGATAGTTCTTATTCTCTTAAAACACGTATGGTTTGGCATGCTAGATAACTACAGAATATTTATCTAATCTCATTTACATGGTCAGTCCCATATTCCATAGCCCATCTAGAATAGGCTCTACCATTTCTTTTAGCATCATCTTCATTTTCATTACCACCACCTAGTAAGGCTTCATTTGATCTTTATCTCACTGACTCTTCAAGATGGGTATCAATGACTTCATTTTAAAGCCAAGGAAAATGAGGCTCAGAGTAGCACATGTCTCAAAAGTGGCAAAACCAGGCTCAAATCCATACATCTGAATCCAAAGTGCATGCTTTCAGTCACTCTGCTGTGATGTCTCTCATCACCCTCCCCACCCCCAATCTTATTGTAATCTACTCTCGTGGGGTCTAAAAACCCCTTTAAAGTGCTAATTGATACTACCCTATGATGTTACTACTCCCAGGGGAATGCACTTGGAGATGAAAGACAGAATAACCAGACAAACCTTTCTCATCCAAAACAATGGGGCCCAGACGCTGGAGAAGATATTTTAGGGCAGGAACAATCAACCCAGCACCCTTCAGACTGCATCAGGTAAGAGCCCTTCTATCACAAGCGGTCTGGTCCCATTCTTACAGTCCATCAAGCACCCACCTTCTCACTGTCATTTTCAGTGAATTTATTCAGCAGCCGGGTTCGCTGTTGCCCTCTCAGGTTCCGCAGGAGGGAAGCCAGGATCGAACAGACATGCTCTGGGTTGGGAAGGAGGAAAGAAAACATGCTGTGATCCGGGCAGTAATTATTACCTCTTCAAGCTTGGTCTGGTTCTATTGAAGGGAATAAGGAGGTCTTCCCTGACTGCTGCTATTGATTGATAAGACAAGAGCCTAAACTGTGTCACTGGAAACTGAACTGAACTGGTCTTCTCGTACTGCACAAGAAATATATTCAGAGGGATGATACCTTCAAGGCCAACTTGAGCAAATGAATCAAAACTAAGAATCTCTATTCTGCCTGGAATTAATTGATTTTTATTGTCCACAAAAGAACTTCAAACTAATCCCCCCTTTACAGAAATAATCTGTAGAAAGAATATGAATACTGGCCATGAGATGAGCATATAATGAATAAATAAGACATGTTCATCATATTCTCAAATTACCTTATCACTTTCCCAAGTAAACATCCCAGAATTAAATAAGAAATATGATAGGACCCCAGTGCAACCACTTACATTCTGGTACAGCTAAAACCCCCACTTTAGGTTTAAAGCAGCTGGACAGCAAGTACTTTAAAACGGTAATGATGCTTTTTGAGTTCACAAAACCCATGGGCATTATTATGAGGTACTATTCTTCTACCCCTGGGAAGAAGAGGGTAATTGAAGGGTATACTAAGGCTTCAGCTGTAAAGAGATTCTTTTCTTTAAAAAGAATTTTTTAAAAATCAAGAATAATGACCTTGAAAAGGAAGTGGCAAAAGTCTATTCATGGAAAAATGGCCAAGTTTATTTTGAACTAAAATGCACATGGTGTGGAACAATAAATATTCTATTTGATAAGTGACTGAAGGGCATCTTCAAATGCCAAAGTTACCTTGAGTTTTCAAAAATCACTTGACTATTAACTAAAGTCACAAGTAAGCATTCTTATTGTAGCATCTAACTATTATTGTATTTGTTTTATTTCCTCACTTGTTATCTAACTATTATTGTATTTGTTTTATTTCCTCACTTGTATCAGAAGCATTCCCCACCTCTTCATTTCCCTGTTGTCTTAATGCTGGAGTTATTTAGTCCTTAGACTATTTTCTACCCACATTCACTTCCATGGGGATCTCATTTAGTCCCATGGCTTTAAAAACCATTTACATGCTGACAACTCCCAAATTTGTTTCTATAATTCAGTCCTATTCTCTGGATGCAGACTCATACATTCAATTGTCTGCCTGCTCTTTCTATGTGGTTGTCCAAGATCCTTTAAACTTAACATGTCCCAAACCAAGCTTTCGATCTTCCTCCTTAAACCTGTTTCCCATGGTCTTTTCCATCTAGTTAATGGCAGCCAGGTTCTCCAATTTCTCAAGCCAGAAATAGTAAAGATATTCTTAATTCTCTTTTGTCACATGAACCACAGGAAACTTTGTCAGCTTTACCTTCAAATTATATCCAGAATCCCATCTCTTCTTACTAAGGCCCCACAGTCACTACTCTGGTCCACACCACCATCATCTCTTGCTTGGAATATTCAACAGCCTACTTGTGGGTCTCTCTCTGTTTCCACTCTTGCCCCCTTTGGCCTAATCTCCATAGAGGAGTCAGAATGATCCTTTTTTAACCTAAAGTTGAATCCCATCATTCTTCTGCTTAAATACCCTCCAATGGCTCCTCTACTCGCTCAGCCTAAATGCTGTTTCTAACGCCAGGCATGCTCCCTGAGCCTCTGCACTTACTATTTCCTCTGCCTGAAATGCTCCTCACCAGATTACCTGCATGGCCTAATCTTCAAGTCTGCTTTTACTCAACTGTCATCTCCGCAATGAGGCTTTCCTTTGACTACCCTATTTAAAAATGCAATGCCCAACATTATTCCCAAGTCTTATCCCCTCTCTTTTTCTTTAGCATGCATTATCTTCTAAAATACTATGTTTACTTATTTATTTTGTTCACTGCCTCCCTTCAATTAGAATATAAGCTCCACAAAGGCAGGGATTTTAGTCTGCTTCAGTCATTGCTATATCCGAGGTCCTAAAACAATGCCTGGCACGTAGTAGGTACTTTGAAAAATACTTGCTGCGTGAATGGGAAGAAAGTAGGCTCTCGATACAAGTTTTTGGTGGTGGTGGTGGCGCGAGGAACAGAACAAACCAACCAACCATTCCTGAATTCTGGATATCTGTCAAATGCCTTAAAATAATTTTCACCCTTTTGTATATTTTTTGCATTTGAGATTAGTGGAGCTACCATTTTCAATAAAACTAGAGGCCTGGTGCAAGAAATTCGTGCATGGGTGCGGTGCCTAGGCCTGGCCAGCAATCAAAGCACAAGCGTCTGGTATGGAAGGGCAGGTCCCAGCTGACCTCTGGGCCCTGGGCAGCACTTGGCCCCCCCTCTGCCTGAATCACGGCGCCCAAGTCCATAAGCGGAGATGCAGTGAGCACAGCCGGACGCCGCAGGCCGGGGCACAGCATGGGCCTCTGGGCCTCCCAGCAGTGCCGCACAGAAGTTGGGCGGGCAGCACTCTCTCTCCTGTAGTCTCAGCGGCTGCGGCCCGGCTCACCCGGAAGATGCTGCGTGGGTGCGGGGCGGGCTCCTAGAAGGTACCTGATTGTGGGGTAGCAGGGGGAGTGAGTGCAAGCTGGCAGACACCCTGCATTCTCACTGCACCTCCATCCTGTCACCCCTGCCCCCAGGTAGCCGGTGAGAAGTCGCAGTGCTTCACCAATGCCCGCCATGTTCCACGTAACCCCTTGGTGGTCATAGCCAGAGGTGGAACGACCGCCTGAGGGGGCAATTTGCATATCAGGCTTTTATTGGATAGCTCTAATCAGTAGATTCAATTTTTTAAAGTATAAATCTTCATAAGACCCAATATCTTTCAACTTTTACGTAAAGCTAGGATTGAGGTGGTATAATCTCCATCTTGAACAAAAGGAAGGGAGCAGGGAACAGGAAGAAGGGTGGGGTGAGGGTAGAAGGCGGAGTGGACAGAACAGGCACTGTTTTCACAGGAAGGTAAACAACATCATGAACCCAGGGTAAGATCAGTGAACCAAGACAGCTAAGCACAGGGTGAGAAAGTAAGACAAGAAAGGGAGGCCTTTGAGGTACATGTCAGGGAAAGTCCTCTGACCTCTGTATGCCAAGGAGAGAAGACTAGAGGAAGAAGGAGCGGGGGATACAACAGTTCTGCAATTTGGGGCCAAGCCAAGTTAGAATATGGCTGTGATCTCTTGAGCTGGTGAACAGATGCAGGACAGGCCATAATAAATGCAGTGAATTCTAACAAGCTCAGTTCTGAAACTGAAATTATCCTGACAACTGGTAACAATTTCCATGAATATACAGGACAAGCTGACAAACATTGAGGAAAAAAGTTCTCATAGATTATGTGGGCCAAGTCTCTCATTGTATAGGTAAGGCCCTCAGAGAAGTGACTTGTCTGCACAGCTAACTGGTGAAAGAGGTAGAACTAGAACTTCAGATCACTCAGTCAATCATTACTGACCACTTTTTTCTGTGCCAGGCAGGCACTCAGTGCTCAGGGCCCCAAGACAAACAACACAGTATCCCTAACCTTTAGGTACTCTTTACTTAGTGGGCAAACAGAATAATACCTGGTAATTACAGTGCAGTGCGACAAGCTCCTTCCGTGAGGTGGGCAGAGGAGACTTGAGGATCACAGAATAGGGATACCTGACCTAGATGGATTCCCATTGGAGGTGCCAAACAAGCAAAGCCCAGCCATGGCCAACAGCTAGGCAAAGAGGAGAGAGTATTCCAGGCAGAAGGAACAATATATGCAAAGGCCAGTGTGGATGGAGTGCCACATTCAAGGGGTTGAGGGGGAAGGGGAGGGAAGGGCAGTAAGATGGGCAAAGGCCAAACCATGAAGAAAAGTGACAAGAATCCACTGACAAATTTTAAGCTGTAGAGAGACAAGATTCTGAGTTTAGACCAATCCTGGCAACTATACTAGTATTCCTTTTAGAGATCAGGATCAGGAAAATGTATTCTTCCTGATGAATTTTTGTGCTTCTTATCAGGGTTTCCTTTTTGCCTTGGCTATTAGAAAACTCAACCACAGGAAGCAATTTCTTATTGATGCCCTCTATTCTCTACCAATACATTTTAAAATAAAAGCAATGGTAAAACCAAACTATACAAAAAGGTATAAAATAGACTCAACAAATACTTATTGAGCATCTACTAAATATATTTCTTTTCCCATACTCCTCTCACTATCCTATTCCTCTGTCCCAAGAAAAATAACCTACGGAAGTATACTGTGTACATTTTCGGAGAAGAAATTATAATATATATATTTTCCATATATTCTGTACTATACCTTTCCATATCAGGACACACTTTTTTTTTTTTTTTTTTTAAAGCTATCTATAATTCCACCGAATCTTGTCGTAATTTAACTTGTGGCTCAATCTTGGGCATTTTAGGTGGTTTCCAGTTTTTGGTTGTATTGTTTTTGCTATTAGAAACAATGCTGCAATAACTATTCAAGTACACAATTTTGGCAACTTTTGCATGTATATTCTTAGGGTAAATCCCTAGCAGTGGAATTGGTGAGTTAAAAGGTACTGATATATAGAATGTTAAAAGACACAAATACTTCCACTCTCTCTGTCTTCCCAAAAGGCTGTACCAATGATGCTTCCACTCCACACACAGAATGGAAATATGGAAATATATATATACTGCTTTATATAATAAAGCAGTAATATGCAAATTGACCATCACACTCTCACACAAGATGGATGCCCCCATGTGGTCATAAGATGGCAGCCACAAGATGGCCAGCAGGGGAGAGGAGCTGGGGGGGACCAGGCTGGCAGGGGAGGGCAGTTGGTATATATATATATATATACACACACACACACATACACATATACATATACATATATACACACACACATACATATACATATATATATATATATATATATATATATATATATATACACACACACACACATATATATATATATACATATATATACACCAGAGGCCCGGTGCACA